ATTTTTCCTCTCCATCCCTCCGCTGTCGAAACACCCCCGCTGAGTTATCGAGAAAACAATTTCACTTCGGACTTCTCCGATGAGACTCACTGTAGCGGTCCAACGATCGGATTACTAAGTATCCCAGGGATAAAAGTTTTGTATTGAAAAGTAGCCCTTGACCAAGTGCAGTGCGAAGATATAAAAGCAAGATGCAGGTACCCCAGAAATCGGAGAACATAAAAATCCGAAAATCTTTCAACCATTTTTTGAAAGCTGGGCGGGAACTCTCCCCTCCTTCGGTCTCGCCGACCCCCTCTTGACCTTCCCCTGGACCCAAGGGTATGCCATGCAAATTTTGGCTGCTTTAGCTCTTCCTGAATGCATAGAGAACAAACAAACAAACTTTCTTCTTTATATATATCGATAATGTAAAATATAAATTGAAATGAAGAATAATACATAATGTTGCTTCATATATACCATAAATAAACGCGAAGGACATCGAAACATATAATAAGAAAAAACGATCAGGTCTAAGTCGCAGTATTCAAATATATTTGTTGTGTTCGGTGTGTGATGGTAGTAGGATAATAGACCACCTTTGAGTTTCACGTTTTACTATGTTGTAAACATTTCGTACCCGCATCGAATCCACTAACTGAGATAATGGATACTAAACATCTTTGTTTATATAGAACTTTAGTTATCATGTCTGATGATTTCAGAATCGCACTCACAGCTTTTATTATAGCAAAACGATTGCTTTTTTCATTGCCACTTGTCATATGCATGATGCATATGACAAGTGGCGATGAAAAAAGCGATCGTTATCTTCTGAACTGAATGTGGTAGCATACTATTTTGCGGACACCCCCGACATTTTTTCTATACGACCCTAGACTTTCAGTCAAGGGGAAAACTTCCTTTTCGTTTCAAATATTATCTAGACAAAATGGCCTACTCCAAGGAGAAAAAAACATTATAACGGGTTGATCAGAGAAAATTACGCCACTTTGCAACTCATGTTTTGGATAGTCACATCAACTTCTAAAGCTTCATTCGAGGCCTGGAAGACACAAAATTTTCTCTAGTTTCTAGGGCGTTGTTTAGATTAATAACTTTGCCCTCTTTTGCTATCACACGTTTATGTTATGGGGAGACCGCTGACATTTCTTTTATAGGCCGTTACACATACAGCAGAGGGAATAATTTCTAGATCGATTATATTATCTGTTAAAAAGAACCTTCCTTGAAACAAATCTTTGTTTGAAGAGGCATTATTAAACATTATTTATTGCTTTAGTCTGTATATAGAATAAATATTGTACTTGTAATTAGTGTCTATGTTGACAGATAAAATATATCCACAGCAGAAATAAAGAAGAAAATGTATCTATACTTATGCTCTCTTCAGCAAAATCAGGATAAAAGAGTATAGACGTAAACCATGTCTTCGATAACACCACTATTAAAACCAAATGGTGAATGGAATTTGTTGCTATTAAATAAGGTTGTATTTTTAACAGGCGGCGGGGGTTACATTGCACAATCCATCGCTCACACATGTTATTCACATGGTGCAAAAATTGTTTTAGCTGATATTAATAAGCAGGCTGCATTGAATACCAAACAACAAATATTATCGGAAAACAATCATAATGATGATAGTCGAATACTGGTTGTTGAACTAGATATTGCTAACGATGACAGTAACAAAAATGCCGTGAACTACGTTATTTCAAAATGGAATACAATCAATATATTAATAAATACGTATGTAATTACTTGAGTAACGGAATCTTTATACCAAAACTAGCATTGTTTTCCTATCATTATGAACCTGATTTCCTAAAGATCTTCTAATCCTTTGGCAAGCAGATAGTTTTACGATAGAACAACTCCGAACGTCCAATCAGTTCTTGCATGAAATATAGAGAAACACATTTCAAATGTTTCTCTATATTTCATGCAAGAACTGAAAGACCAGCTTATAGTTGCAAACGCGGACATCGGTTAGTAACCGATGTCCGCGTTTGCTACTATAAGCTGGTCTTTGAATTAGTTTCGGCAACTTGATCCTCTTCTTCAAACATCTTCCATAGTGATTTTGCGCACAGAAACCGATCTCTAAAAGTTTAGCAAAGCCTAAAAGTTTGAGAAATGTTAGAACCCAATGAATTGCTGCACTTGACCCTATCATCACTGCGGTTCTACTAATGAGGAGAATTATTATAAATCTTTCAACAGACTTTTTGGCTTCGGTCCTTAATCGATTTAGCAGTATCAGTCTATGCACAATAATGAAATTATTTAGCTCAGGCGCTACGTTTAACAGATTCGTTCATTTAGTGCTGCTATCTATCCTGCTGGTAACATTGAAACAACAAGTGAAGACGATTGGCTTAAAACGCTTAATGTCAATGTTAAAGGTTCGCTTTTGTTTTGTCACTCGACTGTATCGTCATTCTCTTTTGTTGTCTGTTTGATAACGTCAAGGTTCAGCGCTAGTAACAAAACACATTGTACCAGTAATGAAACAGAATCAAGGACAATATTCGTCCATAGTTTTATTTGCAAGTGCAACTGGAATGATTGCATTTCCATTGCTGATGGCATATTCAACTACAAAAGCAGCTGTTATAGAATTAACAAAATCTTTGGCTTTAGAGTTAGGACAATATAATATTCGTGTCAATTCAATAAGCCCAGGTGCAATTGGTTAGTATCAATACATTTGAATATTTGTGTTTTGATTTATCATTTTCTTGTGCAGATTCACCAGCATTGTTCGAAGCAGCGAAAAGATTAAATATACCCGATGATGTTTATCGTGTGAATACAAGTGGCAAATGTATAAAACGTTTAGGACAAGCACAAGAGTTAGCAAACATGATTGTTTTCTTGGTGTCCGATCTATGTCCATTTTGTACAGGAGCGAATATTGTCGTCGATGGAGGTCTCATTATTTAAGCTTCTAAGCTCTTTCTGTTTAGTTGTCTCAGAAAGCTTAAGATGCTAATCTATTTTTATATCCTTTTATTATCTAGTTTTCATTTAACACTATAATTTCTATTTCGTCATCACATCAGACGAAGGCCAGCAGCTAGACTAGTAACAAGATCGGCATTTCTCTTCAGATCATTTCAGTTTTTTATTCGCCTTTCTCCTTGAACGATGCTTACGATCTTAGAAAGAACATACCTACTCATTCAAATATTATTCTGCTCTAGTTTGTTTCTTGAGTCGGCGGTTAACGTTAGCCATTATCAACCTTACTAAGCTTAGATTTTTGAGTTTGTATCAAAGCCTTATATACACATAAATGTTGCCTTTTGCAAGTTTCGTTTGAATATTATGCCCATCAGCACAAACTGCATTCTTTTCTTGCGCACATATTGGTGTTCGGTTCGCTTTTCATTTAGTTTTCCTAATTCAGTTGGAATACTGCCCGTTATAGTATGTTGCTGGTGCCAGCAAATCTCTTAGTCTTTTTGTTTTTCTTTAGTTCTTTATGTTTAGTGAGAGACAGTGAAAATATTAAGTTTTAGTCACTTTTGACATCGTCTCAGTATAAACCTTTCTTCTCCTTAGCTACTAAGAAGTAAGCTTTACTTTTGATTGGATTTTGCTCATTAATGAATTAGCTTTAATATATGTGTAAACTAAAAATTCCCAACCTAATTGATGCTAGAAAAAAAAGATTTTCGAAAAAACTGCAAATCTTGGATTTAGCAGGCGTTAGAAAAGCTTCTCTAAAAAGATTAAAGGACAGAAGAACCAATTTGGACCTTATGTCAGAAAATGCGCGTGAATCAGGGCTTTATACTAATACTATGTCGATCTTCAAAAAGTGTATGCCTCAGCCCAAGACGTTTCAGACATTGAAAAACCATCGTATACGTTACTGCTCGTTTTGGTCTTAAAATTGATTTTTCTCATTTTTATTATATCTTTTTGTAGAATAAGAGGATATTCTTGATCGTCGAACTTGATAAACGGATAGCCTCTAGATTCTACTCTCTAAAACTAAAGACCGCAGCTCTGTGCCTAGTTTCTGTCAAAAGTTATTATAAGAACAATGGAGTACAATATATTTTGATATGGATAGTAATTGTTGTTTTACACACAGCCTGGCAATTTCAGGGGCTATCGGCTGATATATTTACTTTATCGTCTACGTTAGAGTTATTTTACTGCGCATGTGTAATATGGGTATGAGCGATTTTTTTCATAAATAATCCACTTTTCCTAGAAGAACAAGCCCCTATTATCGAACTAGTTTATACAGTTTTCATTGCTTTACAAGAATATGGGTAAGACAACATCTCATTGTAATACACTACCGAATCTCGACTCTTCCTCTTACATCAACAGCGATTAAAGACCAAAAACATGATGACAGTCAGATCTCGATAACCAGAAGGTATTCACCAAAATCAAATACAGGTTTAGATTCGCCGCGAAAAGCTCTATAACACCTGATATATAACTTTCTGGTTCAACATACTTTTGAAATCCGACAGGGCTCTTTATTTTTTAAAGGTTGTATCAATTTTCTCGACGCGCTTACAAATTGTCTCTTAATCCTTTTATCAAATTTAGCGAGGTATCCATTTTAATAAATTGCAAAACATTGTTGCCAAATATAACGATTTCTCATCCTATCTTGATCTTCAAGGATGACACCGTTCAGCACTCTGATGCAGTAGACATCTATAGATTAGTAATTCGTTCGTAGGAAAAAATGAAAGATTTTAGAAATGGTGTGATTACTCCTTTTCATTGATATCTTTCTGATCCCACACACCTTTCAGTATCAGAGGACGGGGCGATTATTTGATGGAATCGGCCCCTGCTTGAATTCCATGGACACCTACATGGTTAGATGCAGAATGAACACGAGAACATCAGTTTAGTTTAAACTTTATTCAGAGTAAGGAAAATTCAAACATAGTGCTTCTGGTAGATTGGAATCCACAAGAGTCATTACACCTAATCTCTCAGAATGAGCTGCTATAAAAAAGAAGAAAAACAAAAATGCGCTGCAGCAGCTGCAGACATAAAAAGAAAGTTAATAGGTAAGTACTAAATAAGTGTAAAATGGCATGTAGCACTGGAGAGCGGGAGTTAAATAATCCAAACACATACTTATAAGTAATTAATTATATCTCGAATCTACCGCTATTTTCAATATATTGAAGTACAGCATGATATATAATACAATAGTTATCGTATGAAAATTCATTACTTAAAAGTAAAATAGTTTTTAGAGAGAAATCCACGCTAGGTATCAGATCGCCAATAGTCCTGGATAAAGTTGCACGCTGATGATTGTAGAGGGAACAATTTAGTAAAAAGTGCTTTACAGTTTTGATTTGACCACAAGCACAATTTTCGTGCGATACTAGGTTTTTTGCATATAAATCATTATTCAATCGAGAAAAGCATCTGATTTGGAAGTATATTTTGTCATAAAGTCGATTGACTCCATATACCCGAAAACCTTTCGGTATACCTAATTTAATCTTAAGCTTTTCTTTAAACGCCCTCAAATTCAGACATGTACGAAGTTCGTCTTCTAACTCATTCCAACTTTTAATCGCTAATGGAAGAAAAGTCTGTTCAAATCCTTTACTATAAAAACGTTTAGTACTCTGCCAATTAGCTTCCAGTATGTTGCTTGCTTGAGACCTAGTTGTGTAATGGGTATGATCATTTCTTAAACAGATTTTACTTGTTAGAAAGTTTGGTGCTAATAAGAACAATCTTATGATATTTAAACGTATCTAAAATATCTTGCCATCCTAAACATCGAAAAACTTTTTGCCTATTAGTAAGGTGCAGGCAACCGCTCACAACTAATGCAAATTTGTATTGTACTGTAGAAATTAACGCTAAGTTTTTCGTACTAGTAGCTGAATAAACAATCGAACCATTTAAAAGAACAGGATGAGTATAACATTTATAAAATTGATCTAAAACTGTAGTCTGAAGCTTATTTTTGTGTTGATACATTAAATACAATATTTTATTACATTTACTAATTACGTAATCTATATGATATTTCCAGTTGAGCTGTGGACTGAGAAAAAGACCCAGATGTTTATGACACTTTACATCAGACAATAAAGCACCATTAATTATCAAAGGATAATGAGAAGTGTCAATAACAGTTCTATTAAATGTCATAGGTTCACATTTTTTGATGCTTAATTCTACTTGCAAGAATTTAGACCACTCAAATACTTTTTGCAAGTCATCATTTAAAGTTGAAGTAATATACTGTATAGAAGTACTTGATGCGTGCAATAAAACATCATCAGCAAACAGTCGTGTAATCGATTTTAAATCTAATACAATATTATCAATGTAAATTAAAAACAAGAGTGGCCAAAGGATACTTCCCTGGGGCACCCCATGATTTATTCTTTTCCTACTTGATACCTTCCAGTTTAGCCTAGTCGCTATAACTCGATCTGACAAATATGAACGAAACCAGTTCAACATATTATTAGAAACACCTTTTTGTTTCAATTTCTACAACAATTCCACATGCCACACACTATCGAATGCTTTTTTAAAATCTAGAAATATCGCTCTTGTCAGTTTATTTTCTTCAAATTCCAGCGCAACTCCGTGAACGAAATTGATTAATCGTGGAATCGCGATGACGGCAGCCAGATTGTAGACACGTTAATAAATTATTCTTCGCTAAGTAGTTATATAGCTGAGTATAGACAACACGCTCTAATGGTTTTGAGAGAATATGAAATAATGTTACCGGACGATAATTATTAACTAACCATGGTTCACCATCCTTGTACAAAAGATATATAGCTCCTACTTTGAAACACATTGGAAATTCGCCTTCCGCTATAGACTGATTACATATATCTGCTAGCGCTTCGTTTGTCACGTCACTTGATTCTTCTACCATCTTACTAGTAACTTCCGAACTACATGCTTTATTAGAATTACTAAGTTTAAGTACCTTCTCAATTTCATCTGAACAGATCTTATTCGTAATATCAAACTTAGTTGAAGCTAAAGAAAGTGCATCAGCAGGAATAGATTTATTAATACCTTTATCATCCATAGTACATATCGAAGCAAATTGTTCATTCAAAATTTCCACTTTCTTTGAATCATTATAGATCCATTCACCTTTCATGGTTTTTAAAACAGGAATCTGCGTTCGTTAAACAATCTTTAAAATCGAACGATCACAAGACAGAGCTGAAGGAGGTAAAACAGTAAATGTTTTCACGAAAGATTATTAGTTCCAAATAAATCTAAGCACGTATTAGAAGCAGGCCGCGTAGCACGATTAATAATCTGATTAAGATCTAAACTTTCAAATAGATTGAAGATTTTTTTCTCCCTCCCATGTACTAGGTTTATCAGGAAACCACTTTTAACATTGCGCATTAAAGTCATCAGTGATTAAAAGTCCATCATATTCAGAAAGATTAACTTTTTAAGATAGAGAATCGTAAATAAAGCTAGTAAACTTCTCAAATTCTGCGGCTGTAGATTCAGATCGATAAACTACAACTAGAAGAATTTTTTTGAAGTTATTTAACGCGAGCTTTAAAAATAAGACTTCAAAGTCATCACTTTCACTCATCAAGCGTGTACTAATTAAACCATGCCGAATATAAACTAAAATTCCTCCTCCTTGTTGCACTAAACGATCCTTCCGAGCGACTGCGTAATTAGGAATTTGAATTATCTGGTCAGTATTTTGTGGTTTAAGCCAAGATTCAACAATAGATACTAATAAAGGGTGTTCATTTTGACATAATTCATTCACAAAATAGAATTTTTTTAAACCGCTATTCTTCGACGATTCAGCTAAAATACCTCGAATATAAAATGAATAAATATGATTTGAACTCTCTACATCATCTGCTGCTGTATTAGTATTTTTAACCCTTTTCAAATCTTAAATCGGATAGTAAAGCGATCTGATACAATAGACACACGTTCTCGCTCTCAAAGGCAATAAAGAAAGAGAAGGAAAGAAATGAAAAAAACGGTGAAACAAATAACATATTTAGTATGCACGCTACACTGTATATATACTTATCAAGAAAACTGAAAACTTTGATAAACAATAACCAACTTTCATATCTAACGCAACTATAGTATGACTCAAATGTCCTTGCTAACCTTAATGTACTGAACCAAACGATTTAAGTACCTGATCAATATCTTGTAAAGTTCTTAAATGAATAATATCATTAACATTCTTTCTATAAAAGATACGACCATTTGATGAATAAATCTTGTAACATTCATTTTTATCTAACTTAGCTCGTGCAGTTGTAAATGGTTTTGCATTATTTTTGGATAAATCTTCTGTTAAGATTACATTTTTCATTGGATGATTGACTGGAAGTTTTTTAAATATTTGCTTATCCAATACAAATTGATAACGGCGAGATCGAGAATAAAGTCGAGCAATAAGGACAGGTGGTTTTCTCGAATCATTTTTTTGCACCATACGATGAGCCGTTTCTTTTTCACCGTAGTCTAACTGAAAGCCAATGGTATTTACAATATCTGTAGTAATACCAATCGGATCTTCTTCATCAGAATATGGTACATTCAACCATCGGATGTTGAAAGATCAGCTATATCTTTCTGAGTCATCAACACACCCTTCAATTTTAGCAATCAGATTTTCTAAATGGTTTAAACGTTCATTAAGTCGATCAAGCAAAACTGATTCTAATAATTCAACTATTTTGTTTAAGTTAGCATTTAAATCAACTTCTTCATATTCAATATACGTCGTTAACGTTGCAGCTAACTTTTTCTTAATATCATGATCGTTCTGAAGAATATTACTTAATTCATCTTTCAGATTGAAAAACGGTGGACTCAATGTTAAACCTTGTCCTAATAGATTTAGAACCCATAACAATATAACCACAGGAGAACATTTCTTACCACTCGGCAGACCTCAGAAATGCTCTCAGAAAAAACTGAGTCCAATTAACTGTAATCACTTCTGGCACTATTGAGCATATTTTCAAGTCTGTCTTTCTCGCCATCATACCTCAGTAGAACTATTATATGTCATTCGAAAGCTCTTTTTCTGCGCTATATCATATATACGGAAATAGTCGTTCTGAGGCCAAGTATGTTTAGAAATACTTCCGTCTATAGAAAATAATCTCCTGTGTGCAAAACGTCTAAGATAATCTATGACACCCTTTATGATCTAACCACTACGATAGATATATCCTTCGATAGACAATTTCTCACGCTACCGTTTCATGTATATATGATTGTGAAAAAAGTGTCCTAGGACCCCTTGACATTAGAAATGCTGTTTGGAAAGCCTTGAAAAGTGCACGTCTTATTCCACGGTGAGGATCCTATGATCAACGTTTCTCAACTAGCCACTACTACGATAGTTATATCCTTCGATAGACAATTTCTCGCGCTACAATTTCATGCATATATAATAGTGACAAAAGTGTCACTGAATAATGTTTTGAATAGCCCGAAGATTTTTCCTATCAGATTAGATGCATAGCGGCCTTTCATGAGAAAGGTTGATAATAGAGCTTCTGGAAAACCTGATTGCTGAAACACCAAGTCCTTAGTTTTTAGTGAGAAAATTTTGCAAACCATATAGCCTGATAGAGCGAAAAATTCTTAGCAAAATACGACTTCTCTCGGCATTCTGTAGTGCTTTTTCAACTGCAGTCGATTTACCACTAGCCATCAGGGGCGTGAAAGGTACCAAAATATTCCGGTGAAAAAGCACTACAGAATGCCGAGAGAAGTCTTATTTTGCTAAGAATTTTCGCTCTATCAGGCTATATGGTTTGCAAAATTTTCTCACTAAAAACTAAGGACTTGGTGTTTCAGCAATCAGGTTTTCCAGAAGCTATATTATCAACCTTTCTCATGAAAGGCCACTATGCACCTGATCTGATAGAAAAATCTTCGGGCTATTCAAAACATTATTCAGATTGGTTCCAGCTAGTACTAAAAGGTCAAAAACAAGAGAGTTGTTGTGAGGATGACACACTGTACTGCTGACATAACACCCAAAAGCTTCTTTTCCATATCTTTAATGGCTGACCGGAGCTGTCTGGATATGTGACCAGCTCACCTTCTAGAGAATTTCAACGGCTATCCAGAGGTATGTTTTGGAACAATACATAATTTTCTGGTGGCAGAAAACGGCTAATGGAGTGTTGAAAGCACTAAGATTCCGCAAAATCATTATATCGGCCAAGTGTTTCAACTGTTGACCCATGTGGGCATATTTCTGAAAGACTTGTTTACAGCTAGCTCATATTGAAGCTCGTGAAATTCTCTATTGGATGGTATATCTATCGTACTGGCTAGTTGAGAAACGTTGATCATAGGATCCTCACCGTGGAATAAGACGCGCACTTTTCAAGGCTTTCCAAACAGCATTTCTAATGTCAAGGGGCCCTGGAACACTTTTTTCACAATCATATATACATGAAATGGTAGCGCAGTAGCGGTAGATAGCTCCGGCCAGCTATTAAAGATATGAAAAAGAAGCTTTGGGTGTTATGTAAGCAGTACAGTGTGTCATCCTCACAACAACTCTCTTGTTTTTGACCTTTTAGTACTAGCTGGAACCAATCTGAATAATGTTTTGAATAACCCGAAGATTTTTTCTATCAGATTAGATGCATAGCGGCCTTTCATGAGAAAGGTTGATAATAGAGCTTCTGGAAAACCTGATTGCTGAAACACCAAGTCCTTAGTTTTTAGTGAGAAAATTTTGCAAACCATATAGCCTGA